GGTACGGGTGGAGGGTGGGGAGGGAAACGGGTGGAGGCAAGCTATGGGGGGAAAAAGAGGAACAACTGTAATAATCTGAACAATAAAGATTTAATTAAAAAAAAATAAAATTTGGCACTTTTCAGCCCTCAAAAGTAGGATTCCTCTCCATTAGTGGCTTAATTTAACATGGATCTTAAGAAACCCAAAGCAGCCCAGACCTTGGCCAGAGCGAGGGCAGGAGGCAACCAATCAATGTGTTTCTCTCACATCGATGTTTCTGTTTTTCCCTCTCTCTTCACTCTTCCTAAAAATCAATGGAAAAATATCCTCGGGTGAGGATTAACAAAAAATAAAATAAAATAAAATATATATAGAGAGAAACCAAAAGCATAGATATACCACTTCTTAAAACACCCTTAGCTAACTTAAGAACAAAATAACAATGTAAAACATTACCTTTTATTTTTCATTTCTATATTCTTAACAAAATCAGTCTTTCATTTTATTTCAAAGTTTTTCCTTCTTGAGTTGTTCTCTGTAATTAACCAGCCCAATGTCATTTTCCTGGACAAAGACACTTTTGACGAGAGGACACAGCGCTCCTGTCTCACCTACTGCCCTAATTGCTGAAAGTGTTTGTGAATACCATATAATAAAGCACACATTTGTAGGCTTAGAACCTCACATAGTAAAGGTAAAGCTAATAAAAGTCAGGTTTACAGTCCAAAGCCCTATTGATGACTTATAATCTCATCTTTTCTTCATTGCAGAGACAGAAAAAGATGTATGAGAAAATATTATTTCTAACCTCTCCCAGAATAAGCAAAAAGGACTAGAAGGCAGAGGACATGGAAGTGCAAACAGGAACAAGACAGAATTGGTGAGCACAGGGATTTTTAAAATCCGGTCACAGGTCTAGTTTTATATACTCTCATTCTTTATCCTAGAACAGAGAGTCAATGGAATTGCTTTGTTATGCTGCTGTTGTGAGAGTAGCTTATATTTTGATGTGTTACTGTTTATGGCCATCAAATTTAATGGCTCATAGGTGAAACTGACGTACACAATAATAAAATCAGGAGTAATTTTAAAATCAAGTAATATTCTCCTCCCCAACACGCAGAAATACTAGCAAATGTATTTTTGTTCCTTCATCTGTGTTATATCAGGCTTTGTGTAAGCTTTCTGCATTCATATGTGAGTCACAGCTAGCAGATGCATACCATGTATAAACATTTTGCCCAGGGGAAATCCCATTTCCATAGAGATTTGGTTCCACGCTTCTGAGTGTGTCTGATGGCTGAATTTTTGTTTTGACTATGGAATTTATTGTGCAAGGTAAATTTTAGCTTCACTGAAAAGTCCCCAATTGTATAATCTATCTGATGCGACACAGAAGAAAAATTGATGAATCATTAATGAAGAGTCGTGAAATTTTACTTCTTCAATCCGAGACTTCAAAATAAGCTTGAGAGGAATTGCAGGGGAACTCATTACACAGAAGCAGAACTGAGAATTGCTCAATCAGTTTTTAGAAATGTTGTCAATACTTCCTGAATGTCATCATTGTCACTGTTTTCTTTCAGTAAGGAATTCACTCCTTCAGGTATATTGTAATCCAATTTGTTGAGAACCTACTGTGTGAACATAATGCTGGGTGCTGCAGTTACAGCTGGGAATAAGGCAGTGGTAGTCTCAGACTTCATGGAGTTTATTTCTAGCATCAGAAAGTCACATGACCCAATTAATCACATGAGTGCTCGTTCATTTATACCAATTCTGTGAAGGGCTCCAGCAGAGCATATACAGGGATTGGTTCAAGATATCAGAGAGAACTTCTTTAAGACAGTGGCATCTGAGTTCAACTATAAATTATAATTAGGAATTATTTGGAGCGGGGAGGAGTGGGAAGAAGCAATTGGAGAAACAGCCTGCGAGGAAGGATTATGGCATATATGTTTGTTTGTTTTTGTTTTTGTTTTTGTTTTAAATATATTTTATTGATTTTTCACAGAGAGGAAGGGAGAGAGATAGAGAGTTAGAAACATCGATGAGAGAGAAACATCGATCAGCTGTCTCCTGCACACGTCCCACTGGGGATGTGTCCGAAACCCAGGTACATGCCCTTGACCAGAATCGAACCCGG